CTCAACCCCAAAACGGGACCCCCATTCCAAAATTGCAAATGCGACCTCCTCCTACGAATGGTGCGTATAAGCGCTTGATCCTGGCTCAATCTCGACCAAGCTGTCGAAGGTTTCCATAGCCTAAACCAGTATTTCATTCACTCTAGTGCTTAAATTGGTTCCAGGCTGAATGAATAATGATCCGCGAAGCAAAAGCTCCGAAAAAAGAAATAGCTTGTACTGAATTAAAAAAAATGTGAAGGAAGCAAGTGAGAACACTGAAATCAAGGCGCTCTTTTTGTAGTCGACCGTGGTAGGGGAGAGGCACAGCGCACTAAGGAGAGAGATTACGCCACAGAGCACGTCGTTTGAGAAGGCATAGACATCCCGCATGTTGCGAATGACATAAATGAAAGCGAACGAAGCGATCATAATAAGGCTCTACCGCTATTGCCCCGTACTTTCAAACCGTAGGAACGGCTCAATACATGTGCTTGCGGACCCAGCTGGATTCAGAGATGATTGGGATGATTCCAGCAAACTAATTGTGAATAACTAGTAAGTATTGGATCAAGAGGGTTGTGCTTCTACAAATGATGCTGAATGCCTTTATGAATTGTAGTCATCAAGTCCTGATCGATACTTTAGGATGCGCCACGCATCCTCTTCATTATGGACATAACAGTAATAATGGCATCTGAATACTTCTATTCATACAATAGCTTACGGTCAAGGCTGGGTTTTTGTCCTCTCATCATCGACCAATAGTGTACCAGTTGTTCCTTGGCGAAATAATGGATTGTCCTAGCAAGAGCTATTGCGATAGTTCACTTTGGGATCATGCGAGCAGTAATGGCGCTGCATTGCTCAGACCCCCTCTTCTCCTTTGCTGTCATTGCGATTGTACCAGATAGACTGTTGCTTTTTTTAGCGTTGTAAGGATAACGATGAGATTTCTGAAGAGGAAGCCGTGCGGCAAACACGTGAATTGCTTTCAAATGGAGCCAAAGCGGTACGTTGACATTATTTCTGTTGGAACTGTTGTTGTTGGAGTTGCAGATATTTTATCGCTGTACAGACTGAAAAGTGATTCTGGAAGCGCCCGAAACGCGGCACAAATTTGCTTCTGGGGGCAGCGCCCAACGCCCCAGATCAAAGTGTGTGGGTCACAGCGATTAGATATGAAGTTTTGGATGCCGAATTTGATAAAAATTGGGAAAAGAGAAGCAAAGAACACCGTCGAGTAAGGCTAACAAAAGTTAACCCTGAACAAAGGATACGGCGGGCTGGACGAGTTGTAGAACTTGACCTGCCTACGGGCTCAACTAAACCCGCGCGTATTTGAATTGACCGCTGCGCTGTTGTCCACACTGCGTATCGTGGGGTGTGCGCGACGTAACTCGTCCAAATGTTAATATTAGTCGCCTAGTGCTAATCGAGCAGCGAGTTACGGCACATCTGCGCTACTCGTGGGTTACTCTATCCCACCCACTGGGTAGATTCTTCGACACGACTCCTGCTGAGGGTGTTGCTTCAAGCCGATTGGAGCAGTGGCTTCCCACAATTTGTAGACTTCTTGGGAATACCAAGTCTGTTCACAGAAGCAAAACCATCGATTCAAAATCGTATCCATCCGGCAAGTGTACACTGTGGAGCAATGTGCGCTTTCACACATCTTTGGCCAGTCCAGTAAGGGCCGGATGCATGGCGCATTTCAAGTTGATTGGACAGCACTGACTCCTTTGCTTCATTACTCTGGAACAGGGTGAAAATCGTGTCGAGTACGTGGTCGCAGAGGTACGACCCCCCCCCCGAAATCGAGATCCTGGCACGACCCCCTCTAACAGAGCAAATTAATTCAATTAAAATAAATCCTGCAAAACAAATCAAAAAAAATTCTGCAAAATAATGCTAAGGACGCTTCATCTTGTCATCTATGCACGTCTTCCATCGCTGCATACTTTTGTGTACATACTGAAATATCGACTCGAGGAAAGAGGCATTAACTTTGTGTGACCTCAAGGCGAGGTTCGTTCAGAAACGCACAGAAATCCTGAAGACACGGGGTTGCGATTCAATCTTGATTCTTGCTTGAGTATATCAAAACAGCCGAGTGTATCAAAGGCCGATTCAACGGCAGCTGCGGCGCGATTGTCACTGGGTCAGATTTGCCGAAATTTCAAAAAAAAACGTCCGAATCTACACCCTCGATGAAAAGGTTGCATTCCTCCATTTCACAACCTTTGAAGCAGCTTGAGGTAGAGTTAGATAGAGCTGGATTTCGCGTTTCCAACAAGCATCGAAATTGCTCTGGAAGCCTTCCTTGCAGAAAGATAGGGTCTCTCAAATTTCGTCGAGTAAATGTCGAGGAGGCCGAAATTTTCACGCGAGTTTTTGCCACTTCAAGAGCAATATATCTCTTATATTGTAAGATCCTGAAAAAGGGAAGATAGTTTTGGAAAGCGGAAGGTTTGCGCTTCCTGATGGTCTGTTTAGTTTTCTTCTACAGCTTTTTGGTTGAAGAGATAATTGCGTCGAGGATCTATCGAGGACGGATCCGGCCACCTGGAAATCCGCTCCCTCATTCACCATTGCAAGTGTGACTCGTTGGCAACACTCGGAATGTGTCTAGAACAATATCTTTGAACGCAAACAATAAGAATAGGAGCAATCGTCATCATCCGATTTGGTATTGGTATAAGCCATGCATCCCTCCTCCACTCACAGTTGCAGAATCGATTGAAAGGTGTTATATGATGGGGACCTTCGAACGAAACTGTATTGTAGTAGACATAGTGTGTTGTGCTATTCCTGTAACCTAAAAAACAACTTCATTTGCCCAGCGCTTTTTCTTCACGGTTGTCGTTTTTCGACAGACAGGGTCCCTAACAACAGCGTCATTCTCAGCGAGGTATTAAGGGAGAAGGAGCGAGTGATAGGCGGAGGAGGTGCCTTTGCAGCGCGTGCGCACATGTGGCACTCTTCTTTGCGGGGATGCACTTTCATTCTTTGTACTGCCTTCAAATACGCCCTTCTCATGAAGGGTGGAGGAATGGAGCGACTGAACCTGCAAAGAAAATTTAATATCATGTTTTTTTTGGGATGTTTTCATTTTCTGCTGCGCTATACCCTATTACCTATCTGCACCATGATACCACTTCTGTTACTGACCCCAAGAGTACGACCCCCCATGGACCAGCCCAACAGGTACGACCCCCCTGTCGAGGATTTCCTCGACCGATATTCACCCTGCTTGGGGCCGCATTGCAAAATTAATTGAGTTGGACGAATACGGAAGAGTATGGTCGGTCTATAAGTCATTCGAAGAGCCTTCATTCGAGTCGATGCTATTTCAGGTGTCGATAAATTTCGAGAAGAGCGGCCATTTCCTCCAACGAGATCGAGCTCGATATATTGCCGATGCTGTCGAAGCTCTTCTTCAGAGTCGAATCTAATTGCTATTACTTCTGATTTGACGTGTGATGTTGTGCTTCACTTGATATGCTTCTAAATTTTCTTTGGTAGGAGGCCAGTAGTTACTGATAAGGGAGAAAGGATAGGGAAAGGATTGGAGATGATATCAAATCTGATATTGTAAGATTTCATTATATCGGGTCCAGCTGCATCGCGGTGCACAGTCTGTTCTATGCTTTTCCTACGTTGTTTTTCCTGGTTGTTTGTATAATGTATGTGTTCTTGTGCTTTGTGACATAAACGTCAATGAAAAGTAATATTTACTTAGTGATCAGTAGGACTAAGCCTAGGAAGAGGGAGGAAATCCCTCCCCGAGAAAGCGAAGATTGCTCACGAACCCGGGGTTTTCCCTCCCTTCTGAGGCTTAGTCCTAAACCTTTATACCAAAGAAATATGCTGTCGTGGTTTTGAGCTCGTTGAGCTCTCTAAACCGCATACCCCCCCAAAACCGGAATAGACCCATTATATCTATACAATAGATCTTGCTGTTTCTCCAATTTTCACACGCTTTCATATCGTATGGTTTCTGTTGCACAGATTCTCGAGCTTTTTCACTGTATGACCTTATTTAGTTGGGTATTATCAGCTGGGTTAGCATGCCCTCCCCATTTCAAATAGGACCGTGGAGAAGTCTAATAATACTGGGAATCGAAAAAATACAGCCGGGAATTCTGATTACGGTTGGTGGAAATGGGGGAGGGGACGGAGCTTATGATTTCATTCCCTCTAACAAGGGGGGTCTTTTAGGACAAGTCACGCTTTTTCAAATGGCGGAACACCAACCATGTTTCATTTTCGCTGAACGGTTTAGCAGTACCAAAAAGAAGCATAAGGTACTGTTAATGGTTCGATCCCCCGTGGCGACTAAATTTTGCATTTGGGTTGGCGCCTACGGTTGGTGCCAAATCGCGCTAAATATCAAAATCAGATGTCAATTCATCGTCAGGACCATTTTGAAGCCAACAAGTGGCCGCCAACCTTGATTTAGTCGCCGCGGGGGATCGAACCATCAAGGGTATCATTCACCACTTTTTTGATACTACTAAAACCGTTCAGCGAAAACGAAACATGGTTTTGTGGTCCATACATGCGTCCCTACAATATGCAAGAAACCGTTTCCAAAAAGCGCGGCTTGCCCTGAAAGACCCCCCCCCCACCTTGTAAGAGCCAACATGAGGGCACGTAAGTGCGCAAACATGTTTCTCGCACGCCGATATATGCATACACGATTTTCTCCCACTGTATTCTTCTGAGATTTCTTCAAGCATTTTATCCATTTTAATTCGAGTACTGGTTTTCATTTTGTGTGTAAATTCAAGGTGAACACGAAGAATAAACGGTTCCAAGCATTCCAAGTAGGCTCGAGCAGGGAAACTTCCGGGCATTTTTCTTTGACTGACATGTCATTTAGAGAGGAGTTCACGATGTCCATCGGAAATCAGGGAGGATAAGGGATCAGTGGTGATAAAAAAATGATCAGTGGTGCAGGAATGGAAAGAAACTATGAGAACTCGAGAACTAAGGTTCCTTCGGATGCCTCTCATCGGTGTACCCTCTGCGAAACCTAGAGTCCGATGGCAAGAGGATGGGCGGGCAGCGGTGCGAGCGGCGCGGTTACGGCTATGCTAAGGATGTTACGTATTTATCCCACCCTGCGCCCGTGCGATTGCGTACAGCAGGCGATTACAGTACTCTCACGGCTAGTTCCGCTATCGTTGGCACCCTGTTTTCGATTGAATAACTACGGGTAGAACTTGTGATGAGAGGAAATAATAAGACTAGATGACTTATATCTAGTCTAGCAGTTTTTTGCATATATCTTCGAGATGTCAGCAGTGAATATTTGTGGTAGTGGATATAAAAAATTCCTATCTCCTATCCAGCAAAAGTGGAAGCGAACACTGAACATAACATTTAATGCAAAATGATTGGAATCGTGGAGAACAGTTTTCCCATTTATAGCGCAATAGTTAAGCTTTTGCTCACAGCTTACGTAAAGAACTGCTATTATCTTCCAACGCAGAAGCTGTAAAATCCCACACAAGGTTGGCGAATAAAAGCGCCAAGTCATCATGCTCCTCCCCACCCCCTGCTGGTCCCCCTAGTACTAGGCTGTGAGTCTAGGGGGATGTGTAAGCAGTTTTCATTACCCTCAAAGTTCACCCTCTTCTCCAAGGCTCAGTCAGCGTGAGCATGCCCCTTTTGAGTACACTAGCGCCTCAAGAAATTGATTCGCAACGGTAACGCAAACGCTCCTGTAAGCGGATTATCTCCAATGGAACTGAATTACATTTTACGGCATCTTTTACAGAAAGAATGAACATATCCCGTGCCTATCATCTACAAGTATGCGCTCTCACTTTCAGCACAAGTCATCCTCACAAGGATACCTCCGTATCAGATTTCTATGTCTATGGAAATATCTACAAGTTGCTAATAAATCAACTACAACTCGAAAACAAGGTGGCCGTGAGACGCAACTACTAAGCAGTTCATGATGAAAACTACCTCACGAATTAGAACTCTCTCTTCCCTCAGGTGCCAAGTAAACTTCGTCCCCTCGAGTCCCTCACTGCACTGGTACAATGCATAATGGCATCAATGATTGTTCTAGTGCGGAACATTATAAATACACTAGCACATTACCCTATTTTGCATGTTAAGAAGAAAATGACATGAGGAATTAGAGTGGTTTCCAGGCGCGCAATGGTTTTCCAACGATATGTAGAGCATCTCTCGGTACCCGTCACCTATCTGAAAGGAGAAATGCATGGCTCGACTCAGTACAATATTCGGAGCTGTGCTAGTTATGAATTGATTAGTCTTCCCATTTCCTTTCATCACGAGCCCCGCCTGTGATCATCAGTTACAAATGTCAACGCCAGTAGAACTAGGCGTGGGTGTACTGTAATCGCTTGCGGTACGCAATTGCACCGGCGCAGGGTGGGATATATACGTAACATCGTATTTGCTAAGCCGTCGGGGTCATACACTCACTGAGAAATATTTATCGCTCCTCACCCTCAAGGAGTCTGCCTGTCCTTTCCACTACTTTTTTCCCTTTCTTCGTTTTCCGACGTTATTGTGGACCTTCTCCGAGCTGACATCACTGATTATTCAAGAAGCTAAAAATCACCGAGATTTTAATGCGCACAATGTAGCGGGCTCCTCCTCCGATTGTGTCCACTCAGCTCCGTTAAGCGAAGGATTCTTCAGCAGCAGCTTCATCAGATAATACAGAAACTGGGTTTTTCTTTGTTCGGTGTGCTACACGATCAAGGAGGGCTCGTCTTCAGTCTTCTCGGGGACTATCGGGTGCCTCATCGCGATACCGGATCCCTTCTGGCGCCTCAGCAGGACCAGATTAGCCCTTAGTCAGTCCAGCAATATAGGAAGCGTGGCTGATTATTATTCTATACATTTGTCATGAATATTCGTGCTACTCATGTATAATGTCGTCTGGTTCAGGTCTGTGTGGTTGGGGAGCACGGTAGCGATTAGAGTTTCACCACACATTTGGGAGATGATGCAGTCTCTACCACATCTTAGTGGGTCAGTATTTTTTCCGCTGCAGTCTCAGACCGGGCGGCGTCCCCAACGCTGTGTACTCATAGAATTTTCTGGACGGAAGTCGTTTTTCTTACACATCCCTCTTGAAAGGAATCCTCCACGGAAAAGCTCGCCTATTACCCATTAGAAAACGATACCTCAAGGAATCTTCCACGGAAAGAGTGATCATTTTGTCTTGTGTGTAGGATTAGTATTATCGAAACTAACGCTTATGTTCCGTTCTTTTTGCTATGCTCATGAGGCTAGGGGCCTAAGGTATCGTTTTTCTGTGGTAATGGAGGCGGAGCTTTTTCCGTGGAAGATTCCGTTAAGATGTAGCGATTTTTCAAAGCGGTTTTATGCGCGTAATAGAGACACGTACAGGGAGCATAATACTGAGAACGGTTTTTCCTGAGTGGCACGAATGATAAAAAACCCGTCGAAACCAGGCGTTGTGGTTCGATCTCCACTGAAGACAAATTTTTGCATTTCTCTAATTTCCACATCCTTGGGCTCGTGTATGTCTTAACAGTGAAAATCCAATTTGAGGAAGGGTACTTCTTAGGATCTTTTTCTTAATCCAAGGGAGCAATTTTTCATGCTCTCTAATGGTAGGACCAAGGATAAGATAACATCTGAACAATTCATTTGAAGTGTCCTTTTAAGGATCGGTGGATGTCCTACATTCCGCATATTCTGCCCGCACCCCACCCAATTTTTTGCAGCAAATCATCCACCCTGAAGCTCCTCTACCCTTATTGTTAAGCCAAGGCAAGTATCTCAATGCGTTCCATGATCTGAAACACTTTCCTTTAGTCTGCAATGACAAGGTCATTACATTGTGTGAGCTTGTGATATCGTTCCATTTGATAACTATCTTTGAATTTGAATAACTGTCTTTGAATTTTTATTGTACATCCAGGGGTACTTCAAAGCAGTGATACAAATAATAACCCATGAAAAAAGTGGCTCTATCCAAGATTTCTTACGAGTTGCCAATTCTTAGGGTACTCAATACATCAACCTGCTGCTGCGGTGCCGTAGGTAAACCCGTGTGAAGCCCGCGAAACAGAAGAAAGAGACTGGGGGACGGGGAGTAGAAGATGGACCCTAGGGGCTTCAATCGTCACATGTGGTTGCAATTTTGGGACGGGTGGAAAAGGGTGAGCGAAATCGTTCCCCGGCTTTTCAGAAAAAAATCATACAAAATACACTGAATACCAAATACGTACAATACACAGCACTCAAAAATGACAAACCGGTTGCAGAGATCATTTTGTGAACATCACTTCAAATATTAAGATGCTTATATGTATAGGCTCTAGCGAGGGGATGTTCAATGGGACGTGGAGGCGCCTACTGTAGCACCAAACTCAAAATTCTGGGTGGACTACTTCCATAATGTGGTCCTTCAGTACAGTACATACCAATT